CTGTTTGTATGGCGCGTATTCACTTTAAGAACCATACTGATTATCGTTTCAAATTTTGTGGCATAAATATTCTTGGTTTCTTCAGGAAAAAAGCTCATCATGGTGATCACAAGGTTTATTCGGCATGTTGCTACGCATAATTCTTTAATCAAGTGATTCGCTTGTGGTTGAAAAGAAATCGGAAGGAAGTCGGCAGTTACACCGTGTAGATAAAGGTAAACTTTTCAGTAAATAGTTAGACAGTATTCCTGGCTAAAGTTTAATACAATCAAGGCATTTTAACGAAAGCGTATGTACAGTTTGAGTATATTCTGTCATAAATTGCTCAGTATCTCTAGATGTATTGCTCCAGTGAACAGGAATGACATCAGGTGGGGTGGTGGCAGTTCAAAGATATTCGAGTTTGCAAGCAATGAAACGAAGTATGCACAATGAAATACTCATACTGCTCGATGCTATGATTTCAGTGACGGTAAAACATATCAAACTTATTTGGAATACAGAACAGACTTGTTCCATTCGTCATTCTATTCATTAGAAAAATAAGATTTTATTTCCAAGTAGTTCATGCCCATACTTTTTGACTGTGGTTTTGTTTGTCAGTTTTGTATTCAGTTCGCGCAAGTTTCATTGCATTAATCAATCTAGTCTTGTCGACCGAGTAAACGAGTGAGTTTATAGCACGGAAAACCAAACTGGTTAGATTATTCCCCTTTTTTCCCAACCCGAACTAAATCCTTGGTGCCGTTACTCTTGACGTCGTGACCTTTTGTTGCGTAATGGGCCCATATATTTGACCTTGAATAAAAGCAACATCGAAAGGGCGTAGATTTATGTGGATGAGCGTGCTTATGTTTGTTTATTTCTTCCATTGATCGCATTCCTGGGCATGCTTGCCCACGTGATCTCACACGTTTCTTATCTCTTGTAAAACTTCTTATGGGCTGCAGTGCAACCCAAAACGGACATAACTTTGCTCAACGTTTCTCAATGTTCCGTGTATTCAATGCAATATCGACACCCTGTTGGAGTTAACCTTTAGTATCTCTGTTCTTCAAATTCGCTGGAGATTGAAATCCGGAATAATCTTTGGGGTCCTTGTTTCCGGAATTCAGTTTTATTGCACACCCAACCTCTGTCATGACAAATGAGTTGACTATTTTCTCTCCAATCGACACCCAGATAGTTGGAGTTGGCGTTCGGTAGATTGTGCTATTTTTTACTTCCCAACGACTACGGTGTCCAAAAATAGAATTATGATGAGCTTTTCCTCCTGCCACCCATGTTTACTCCTGTATACATATATTTAACATGAAGAAATATCACTTCTATTTGACCCAGAGATGCAACTGAACATGCTGTGTCGTTGCTGTCCTTCGTTGTCGACGGAAGCAATAAGGGGGAAATGTTTGTTTGATCGATTTCTAATCATCTTTGAAGGGGAAAGGCGAGCAGCACACCCACATGAGTCAGCTCACTTCTCAACGCATGCAAAGTTTAAGCAGACCTGACAGTTTCTTTGTTGCGTCAGTTATTGTTATTCTATCCTGGTAAAACAATGTCATTCCTTTACGCAAAATTAACTCATCAGAGGTTAAGCCTTTGCTGATAATCGTGTGTATAGATGGGTCAGATTGTTTGTATCGTTAAACACGGTGTTACGCACATCACCAATTAGGTTGCCACTGCGAGCGACGTTCGCCGAGACAGGTAGTGGATGGAAAAAAGTCCAGAGTGGTCAAGCTAAGACCTGGCACGAGGGTATGAAAACCCTAACCAGAGGACTGGGTCACATGGGTTCCGTTAGGCTCCCTGGCTGGGGACCTAGGGATGATTGTAACCGATGATTAGGTACACTAAGTGATATGGCTGTGTCGTGAACAGTGGCGTTCGTGCATCTTCTCAATTTCTTTGCAAGGTTAGTCCACTGAAATTATCCATTTCCTATTCCATTCTACTTTCAGGTTTCCTCTCTTTCTTCCACTGTTCATCCAAATAGGCAGCCAAAAGACAGCAAACAAAACCGGCGCACGAAAGTGCATGGTTAATGGTTGTACAAACTGATCTGAACTACAGGCAGTTTTAGAAAATATGATGGTTCCTATCCTATGGAAACTTTGTGAACAGTACAAACGTTACTAATGTGGGAAACTAGGGAAACGTATCAAAATTGTTTCACAGTATTTGAACACTAAAAAACATTTCCTGATTTTCACAGAAGTAGTTCTCACTCACACCAGGGATATCTGATGAAATCCACGGAACTTCGTGTTCAATTGGGTTCAAGTTTCTTTCACCTGTTTCTATTCCAAAATTTGTCCATCCGATGATCGAACATCATTTTGACGCTAGAATAATTGAATGCTATAAAGTGTCTCTTATCGGATAAGAAAACGGTTTCATTCGATTACAGGTTGATAAGTGTAAGCATAATCAGAACGCTCGAATTTTTGAGTAAATTTAAACGATCTGCTGATTAGTGACTATTTTCTCACTCGAACATGAACGTGCATTATATCAGTAAGCTATACAACAATTCACACTGGCAATTAGAATATGGAGTTGGACTGAGATAGTTCAATGATGACAACTTCCGTCAGCGCTCGAAAACAGCACACACATACAAACACACGCATAGGTGTGTTTTTCGAAGTCATGCAGGTATGCAATCGATTATTTTTGTCGTTTGGTTCGAACAGTCACAGGAATTAGTTAGATACACATTTTTTGTACAAGCACGTGCAACCATGTGCATTGGTCTTTTCACTTCAGGTTGAAAGGGGTTCATCAGCGAGCTTCAACGTTTGTAACTGTTTCTCTATCTCCCCCCCCCACCCTATGTGACTGCTTGAGAGATAGGGACCGAGAGAGAGAGCGACAGTGCAGGTAGTAGCTCCCTCCCTCCCACAATTCTGATTACGGCAGCAATAATTACGCCCAATTGTACTTAGACGCGTGGTTTGCGAGCGGTGTACCAGACAAAAAGGATTTATTTCGGACCAATCTATACCAAGTCTTTCCGAGATTGAGACATTTCTTTGTGGCGGAAATCTCGATTTATCCGTTGGAATTGATCTGTCTAAAATCAGGGTTTGATGAATACTACCCCTGTTCAGTGAAGTTTCTCATCAGTTTGTTTTGTATGCTAAGCGATCGGTTGTGATTGACTAAATTTTATTTTGATTGTTGGTGTCCGGTAAAATAAAATAAAGAAATAATCTTAAACTCCGTGCGTATGTATAATCCGGGTGTTCCCATTTATTACTTATTCTATTTCCTATATTCATGACACAGATTACTGCTTCGGAATGAACAATGAGACACTGTAATCGTGTTTATCATGCTCGCGAGTCGGTACTAGATGACGCAACTTCATCCAGTAGATGGGACCCTGGAGTTTACTGCTTAGAATCATTTTCCGCCTCCATGCAACGTCCGTCTGTGCTTACATGAAGGATCTATGCACAATTTTGAGAAACGACAATGCCTAAGGCTTTTCATAGCGTTACTCACACATGAATACGGTTCCGTTCAAGCTTCGCCATATCTCATGGAGAACATTAGTCCTGCTGAGAATTATATTTTCTGGACTAGCATTATAAATGACCCTTAAAATAACATACGAAAATAGAGTAGATCCAAATGCGTGATAAGGGATAATGACCAACGTGTTTTAGTAAACATTCCCGTGAAACACTTTTTGCACAAATGATTCCAGATTGATCGAAGACGGTAAAGTGCGGTAGTATTCCAGTGGTATTCTCTCGCTGTTGTCATGAAGTAATAATGCTTTATGATATATACTTGATTGGACCGTGAACAGTAGTAGGGATAAACGACCACTTATTATTGACTTATTTTATACGAAAATTATTATTCGAATGGGTGGGCCACGTAAAACCCTCTCTCATAGGGTAGGTGCAGTATCGTGCCGGATAACAGCGAAACAAAACCACCAACAATCGGTATTCGCCATTTAAGTGTGAGTGTGTGCAATTCTCTGTGAATTGAAACTGAATTTTTTATTTTGGGTAATTTAAAAAAGGAAACTTGTTAAATCCCAAAGGATTTGTACACACTGGATTCGGTTGGTAGTAATAGAAAAAGAGGAAAGCACAAATTGTCATGTTCAGTCAGTTAGGAGTTTCAATGCCTCACAAACCAGGACTTAAATCAGTTCATGGCTGGAGCACAGACGAGCAGGGTTTAAGATAAGATTCCACCGAAAGAGTGATACCCGCGGGTTATCTGATTATTTTGGGACATCCGCTCAAAGAAATGTCCCCTGAGGTGACGGATTATAAATGGGGGCAGACAAGTTTTAGCGAATAAGGCGTCAACCAGACACCATTGTAGCTGTTGTTTCAAAATGTGCTACAGACAACTTCATTCCCGACATTAGTCGATTCGGGTGCATCGAAACTCGTATCATATTTCACTTCTGCTTGTTACAAAAAACGGCAACTCAAGAAACAACCAATACAATAGGTGTCCTAGCATACTATCGACTAGGATCCTCAGACAATCGATAAATACTTGCTATTAACCAGTGAAGAATTTAAACCTTCGTTTGGACGATTAAGAACTGTATGTCAAGTAAAAGCTATTGATTTCATCTGGCTAGGGTTTCCCAGTGGTTGTCTTTGTGTGTATGTGTATTTGTGTGGACAAAATCGAGCTGGATTTCATTTCTGAATAACCAACCAAACAAACAAACCCGATGCATTTGCACAAAGATTGCTTTAACTATTCGTCTTCTAGCTATCTAAAGCAGAAGGCACTTTCGAAATATGGCATTTGTGATGCTGAAAATGAAATCACACCTAATCGATAAACATCTTTTTCTGTTTTCAGCCGAGAGACTGAGCCCCTTTCAGCTGTGTAACAGTTCGTGGCAGCCCAGACACAAAAGTAGCAACGAATAAACTCAACGGGGCTATTGCATAGCACAAACCGGACCGGACTTTCGTTGACCCGTGTGCGTGCAGGTGGCCAGCGATATGGATGGCCAAAATAACATGGAGATGAACGGTACAGGCCCCGATCCGCCACAAGTTCGTGTGCCCGATTTGGAGCGGATCCGTAATGCAAGGAAACGACGTTTGATTCAAATCAAAGAATGGCAGCAGTACGATCGTAAGATGACACGAGAAAGCGAAAAAATGCAACGTAAAGGTTTCGGCCCGCCAGGAGACAAAAGCTTGTACCGTTCAGGCCCACAGGTCAAATTTCCACAAAGTTTGATATTTTTAGAAGCAGCTGCTAGAGGTGATCTTGATGAAGGTAAGTCACCGAAAGTGAAAGAATTGGTGATTTCTGTGGTAGTTTTACTTGCTTCCAGTGAATTCAGGTCATCCGACAAAACATATAACTTGGGAGTACATTCGAGTGAACACGGTAGTAATAAAATCTATATTCTTCACGTGTTTTATAACAATCAGTAGAGGGATTTAATTCATGGTCACCGCGACCTTATTGTCAGTTACGCAATCGACGACCCAATTGATGAGGCTTGGGGAGTGTTTTTAGGAAAGGTATCAATGTGATAAACGATCTATTAAACTGAACGACAGAAAGCTAACTAACTTCAGATTTCAGTGCCGATAGTGGATAAGGGAAGCAGTAAAGGGGTTTCAACTTCAGATCTTAAGGCTCAAATTAAGTTAAGCAGTGGGACTTGAAGATCAACCACCTCTATCAACACTGTGGATTGGAAGAGAGGTAGAACAACAGTAAGCGCCTTTGAGATAACTGTTGTCATGTATAACCCTAATTTCTGTTTTCACCCCGGAAGTTCATGAGAAGCCCAGTCCAGTGTTATCTGGACTAGTGCTATTAAGGTTACACCGTTTTATATTATGTTGTATCTCAAATTTGCATGGAACAAGTAATCATTCCCCAATTCGATCTAATCCCGTTGATTTCAATCCCACTTCGGGTTGTTACGAACACGAGTAAAAAAATTGTATGCAGTTTGGTGGGGGCTTTTGTGATGTTTTTTATACTCGAATTAAATCCAGTTTTTGTCAAGCAGATGGACTAATAGACATTGTTCTGTTCTTAGCCCAGATATTCACTTAAAATAAAATATTGTTGACCACTATGTCTAGCACAAGCGACCGGTGTTTCACTAAATGTCAACAACACGATGAGTACATGTGCTCAGGGCATTGAGATTTTACCGTTTCACTTTGTAATTCCGGCTCCCTTCATGTCAGTTCAAACTTTAGTCAAAGAGATTTCATCTGGAAATAGAAGCAGTGATGTGTTCCCGGGGGGAGGGATGAATTTTATGCTTCCTAATCTTCGTTGTTTACTTCTTGTGAACTGTTCAAAACAGTCTGAGGGAAATTTTGCAGTTCTTCCTGATGGATGAATCAATTTGATCACATGAACGATTGGTAGTTCATTCAACGACTTTGAGCGTATACAGTGCGCGAGAATTGAAATGCTTTTCTTACTAAAATAATTTTAACTGGTCTAGCAACGAAACCGATTCCACAAATGTTCTTGTTCCCATGCAAATTCACGGACATCATGGTGTTTTGAGGCCATCCACGGTGTAGCTCATGATTACGAGCTTTGTCTCCCAATCTGAATGGTTATGCTTCGAGCCCCGGGATGGACAAAGTAAAATGGTACACACACTGCTGATGAGTTTCAGCAAGAACAAAACAGTGGCCTCATCTTATTCATATGGCGAATACAAAAACAAAATTTGTAATATAATAAACACATGCTTCGCATTCCCAAAGCCCCCCGTTTTTGGAATACTCCTACCACCACCACCACCACCACTACCACCACAACCACCACCACCACCACCACCACCAAAACCCAGGAAAACGCCGATGAAAAAACCATTTAGCTTGCTACCACGCATTCTTTTGCAGCATCCTGCGGTTCACCACTCCAACTTTCTGTGGTTTAGTTTGCCGGATAATGTGAGTGAACAGCAGACCCTTGTGGCGGAGGTTCAATGCTTCCAAAACGCATGCAAAAATACGAAGGTCTGAGTTGGAAGCGGAATATTATAATTTTCTGCAAAGGAGCTATGTGAATTGATCGTAAACAAATGAGTAGAATGCTCTTAGCCCATTTCGAAAATCCGGTTTTGTGACAATTTTTATTTGAAAACAATCTGATCTAACTCGCCCGAATACAGACTCATTCCCTTTCGCAGATTCGTTTTCGCACAGGATGCACTAATCAAATTAGGTGATGTAGAATCACAGTCACGGGAGGGGATGACGGTCTTTTTTCTTAATTTTTACGTTTTGCAGAGGGAAAATTAAATTTTCGAATTTCGTTACGTTTGCTTTTTTAACGGAAAGTCTGTCTGCATTGAGTGGGTCAAATCAATATCCCCCCACTACATTTATTTCAAAACTTTGCACACTTAGGAACCAGAATATACCTTTAATGGGATACAGCCAAAAGCGTGAATTAAAACATATTCCGTTATATTCTCTTCTTTCCCATTTCTGGGATCGTTGCCTCTCCGATTCGCTAAGGGCTCGCAGCTGGTTGACAAATAGTGGTACACACACAGAGAAAAACAATCATTTTCAGGTTTGGATTTTGGATCGAGCGAAAAGTACACACAAGAATGTCCCTTTTTGTTTCTTTTGAAATAATAGTCTGTCACCTTTTGGGACTTCTTTTGATCATGGAAAAAAAATCACCACATTCGGATGAACCAAATACAATACTCATACATTTTACCCCTGTAGAGAATATGTTTTGAGTTAGCCAGTCTAAAGAAGACTGAGCATCCCGTCTCATGTAGAAACATAAGCATCTGAAGTGTCGGTCAATATTGGCCGGGGAGTGGTGCTTGCAAGTGGCCTGCGTACACATTCTTCGAGATAGCTAGCCAGAGTCATGAGTTGTACACCGTGGCAAAATGCAATCACTTTTTTCTCGTCTGACCAGACCCAACGATAATGAAATTTGGACGACAACCCAGTCACATCCGGTTCGTTTGAGTAGATTGGATTTGACGCACGGGAGGGGGGAGGCGGGAAACGGTGCAACTTTGCATCCAACTAGGGGCGACGGACGACTAGTGGGCAGTCGGGAATGGTCAAATGACCCAGAAACCGCATGTTGTCGGTGACATATTCCACCGGGGAAGAGCACTTAGGGCAACCATTCACGCGGGGTTATAGGAGTAACATGTTTTCAGGTCTGCCAAAGGAAGCGGAAATGTTTTTGATGAGAGTTGATTTGTTTTATGAGGGGAAAAAGCATCGAGTATTTTTTAGTAATGCTCTAAATGATCACAATGCATTAGTGGGAGAAACTATAGGTGTGTGATTTGGCTTTTAGCAAACTTCTAGGATTTTATTCTGTTTAATCCCGGTCACAGACACTGGTCCGGGATTCCTGGGTTGCCAATGGTAGTTTGTACCGCAAACGTTTGGCAAAATAATACTACGTGAGGTCTGTTGGTATACGGTTGTTAATTGTGCGAATTTCATTGGAATTATCTGTTGCGCAAAAGGTACTTTCAGTATTTTAATAAGATTGTGTTAGTAGTGCAAAATTCGATGGCTACAATAATAATATGGTTACTCCTTCGTTAGAAAGTAAACCCTGTCTTAATTTGAAAGTGTAGTTGCGTTCTGTGACCTAAAGGAGAGCACTGAACAACTACTTATTCCTTGTGTGAAATATTAAGCGATGTTTACTAGCTTTTGTTTTCCCGTTGGGAACGGAACCACATACTTTTGGACTGGGGGGGGGGGGGGGGGGGGGGGGGCCNGGAGCCCTTATCCCGAGCAACACGATCGATGGGCAAAATAAAATTTATGTGACTACTTCAATTAATTAAACACGCTCCTGGTTTAGCCTGTATTATTTCTCAGATATCAGGGATTAGTTATTGATCTTTAAGAATACCTGAAGCCGTTATGGGATTAAAGAACACCTCATAAGTGGGATCCAAACAACAAGATCAATAAACAAAATTTGGTTGTTGTGAAATCATATGAGCTGAAACTCAAAAATCATAAGATCATTCGCATGTATTTGAACTAAAGTCAAAATAGTATTTTGATCGCAAAGAAGCTGGTTTCCTTTTGGTTACAAAGGATACGGGAAAACAGAATAAGTTTGCATGCCCATTGGTAAACTCCTGTGTGAAAAATGGTTAGACTTGGTTAAAGCGGGCAGTAGCCACGCCACTTATATTTAAATCCTTCCAAAAAATAAACCACAGGTTGCAGTTAAGAGTGCGTTGTTCAATCCGATTTACATACGAACTCTCATTCTATTTTCTCCAAAACAACATCATTCAAATGAAAATTATTAGTGAGCTTTTTCAAGATGTTTTCATTCAATCTGAACCCAAAATTGGAAATTTCGTTCGAATGGAAATTTGGTTGCGGAATATCTTTTCTTTAGTTTGAGAAAACTTTTGGTTTGACGAAATCAACAAAAAACATACTTATCAAAGCCAAAATATTTCAACTTCTGGTTGAAATAAAGCTATTCAGTTTGACGAACGTTTCTGAAAGACAAACTGCAATTCTCTGTGTTTACTGGATTGGAAATAGTCATCCAGTGAACAGTCCGTATCTACCTCGATACGATTTTCGCCATAAATTGCTGTTTCTGGATTGCACAAAAAATTTACCAACTAAGCAATGTTTACTGGAATAGTTGTCCTTTTCCCTTGCAAAGATCGATACTGGTTAGTACTTAGTCGGTCTCGTTAATTAAGGAAAAATGTTTGCGTGAAGACTTCCTTTCTTCTGGTGGGCTATGTCAATTGTCGAGTTCCACTGAGAGTTAACGGTAAAATCAAGGTGTCGTTCAATGTCAAATGGTGAATCCAACACGAGGTTTAAGCAATAGTACGAGCCCGTTGATTTTTCCAATCTCTCTCTCTCCCTATATATATGTATTTCACGACTGAACAAACACATCATCCCCTTAGCAAAAACCGTTGGTATGAGACCACAAACAAAGGAGAAATATCAACGTATACCTGTATAAACTTTTTCTAATCGAGTAATACCACGGAAGAACTTACTCAAGTCCACCTTTTCACTGACAGGTTCATAAACTTCTTACTCTAAATTCCGAATACAAGAAACCCAAGTTCGACCGGGCAATTTCCTTTGTATAAGATCAGCACATATCTCACCTCAAATCCGAATAATGGTAATCCAGTCTTGCAGACTTACATTTATATACCCCACGAGTGCAATTGCGAAACGCAGTGGCAATAAATCACATTGCATAAATTCAGATGAGAGAAATTAAACATAATTGACTTCCTTTTATTTAATAACTACTACTTAGGGATATGAACACGTTTAACTAAAGACTACCAAGTCACATCAAGAATAGAAAGAGCTGATAATCATCATCATCATCAGCAGCAGCAGCAAAGTTGGAATTCTAAAACTTCATCTTTTTATCGATGTAAAAGTGGTCGATGATTTTCTATACCGCAGCTTGGTCGAAGATCAATTGAATCACTTACTTTCCCTTGATGTCGGTGATTCTTACGTGTATTCATCCTCGAAAATGAGTAGCCACATTTGTGATTTGCCTCGGTTTACAAATGAACTAAAATAAGCTTTCACAATTGAATTTGACTTCTATATTAATTTGGTCGCTGAAATAATAGAAGAGTCGATTGAACGTCTTACGATTACCTTTCTTGACTGGTTTTCTTTAATTAAACTTGCTCTTTCAGCATCATGTTGAAAACAATCCTTCCATTCATGAATTCTTCGAGGATTTAAGTCTTCATAAACTGCCAATTTATTAGACTTTCCGGTTGTAAAATGAGACTGTAACACACCAATCTCTGAATTATAGTATGTAGCATCCTCCCACTAACAGTCCATGGGTAATGCAACTCCTGTTCACCGAGCTTGGCAATCGGTTTGCAAACGTTTGTGCTTGTGAAGCGCTGATGCTGTCACTGCGGCTCGTGATGAAGCGTTCGCAAACAAATTAGGAAACTCAGCGAACAAGCGAAATGTAATAGGTAAAAGTTGGGCAACCGGGAATGTGCGGTTTGAAGCTGACTGGAACCTTTGATGCGCATTGTTCAGAAGGAGGTCGCCCGAAAAGAACAGCTTAACACCGACACCTTTTGAGGAGTAAATGGAAATGGGTTATCTTTTTGAGATCGTTTATTATGGTTTTCAGTGAATCTTTCCTGGTAATCGCTTCGCGGCATCGTTATCTTCAACAGATTCTCTCCTTGGGAAATAAATATTTCTAGCTCAATCGAACAGAGGTTTTACAATTCCACGTTTATACGTCACAAGCGAGAAGCTGGAGAAACGTTAACCGGGAATTATTAAACTCAATGTTCTACATAATTCATTGCTTGTTTTACGTTAGCGATTGAAGAGATTAGACGGTGTTAAAATTTTGTGTATTTTCTTACTAAACAACTCTATCAGTGATAAATTGAAATGGCATCTGTTTGGAACTTTGTTCTTCTAATAATAAAATCGCTCTATACGCCGAAACAGAACCACTGGTGCCTCCAGCTCGAATGATATTCCGAAGTGGTTAGGCTTCGCGAGATTCTGAGCAAGTCAGAACCTCGTCAAATAACCATATCTACTGCGTATGGCTGAAAGCATACAAACAAGTTCAACAGTTCCTCATAGTATAGCGTGCAAAGAGACACAGCGAACACATTTCAACCTGTGGATGTCAAAATGAAATGCAGGATGATACGTATCGTATGCTAGAACCAACGCGAAGTATGGCACGGTTTCAAAAGTATTGCTGGAAGGCGGTGGCCGTTGGTAGCCGAGTGGTAAAAGTCACCAAATTGCCGCCGCAAGGGACGTGTGGTCGAATCCAAACACCACCACCTAGCTTACACCATTTTGTGTTGTATTACAGTCATTTGGTTGACCGATTTCCCCTTCTTAAAAATCGTACCATTATATAGTCAATAAAAGGAATTCAATGGAAAGAGAACGAAGCTGGGAAGCAGTAGCTTATCATCAGAATCCGCTTCAAGTAATAATACTCCACAGCAAGTTAATCATTCGTTAAAATGCTGAAATCTGCATGATACTGCTTCGTCTATTCGTTAATCTCCCGTTTGTGATCAATTTTGCAATATGATTGCAGTGAATCGAGTAGAGTAGGCGATCGTTGCTAGATTTGACAGGTTATATATAGTTCTGCTTACACCCAGCTGTGTGCACACGTGCTCTTACTGGCAACCCATATTCCTGTGCGAAGGATTGAAACCGATTGTTTAGGGGTTTGGCTTTTAAACTGGGGAACCGGTATCGCAGATCATTGAACTTCAATTGAAAAACCATTGAGGGTTAAATGGAACAAGTGCGCTGTTCAGCGGGTGATAGCAAATTGGCCAAACCCTAGGGCCCTCACTAATCGGATCGGATAAAACATATTTAAATTTCGCCAAGCCTGCTGAACGTTCCACAATTCAAAACATCAGACCGTTGTTCTTTGCAATCTGTTAAACCACATAATTTGAACAAGGTACAAACACTAATTTTCCAGAATTATTGTGGTACCCGGAACAACTTCTAAATGTGTGTTTCTTACGTGTAACGTACAACAAATTTACGCTTACTAAGGGCCATTCATTCTATGCCTTCTACAAACCACAAACAGTCGGTTTTCCAATGGTTTAATTCTTAATCTGTTATCATCACGAGGAACATTACGGGGCTGCTGTTGGTTAAGCAACCTTTCGAACCAATTTATTGAGTAGTGCGCACACATTGGAATAGTCTTCTGATGGCGTCTAGGAGCTGTAGCACGCTAGCAGGTTGATAGGCGAGCTGTTGAGCCGCTTAACTACCAAGGCAGGGTCATCCCATAGACATGTTGGCATGGTGGTCACACATCCACCTTCATTGTGATGATCTCGGTGTTCCAAGCCCAAACAAGACGGTAGATATGCTTTGCTAATAAGCCCTAGCAAGATGGAAACTGGAATATAGGTTTTCCGGGAGTAAAGTAGACCGAATGAGCTAGGAATTGTGAAGAACGGTCACTTCAAATCAACATCCCATTCTATCGACGCAGCCATAGATTGAATTACATTTTGAATTCCAAGAATAAAGTCTCCAATAAAGCTGTCAAAACACATTCCTTCCAACCACTAGTTGAACACATTCACATTGAACTGTGTAGAAACGGGGTGATGAGGAACCCAATGATTCCTTCGAAAGAGCTTCATTTGTGATGAGATAAGCAAAATTGACGATTTTCTCCACGCAGGACTTTTCGCTCAAGGTTAGAATGTTAGAATGTCCATCGGACAGACTTTAAGGTAAGTAAATTCCTTCGCTGAATTAATCTCTGTGAAGCAACTCTGCTGAAAGACAATTGACTTTTTATGGGTGATTTCTTTCGGATGTTTATAAGTAACAAGTGAG